TTCAGCAAGCGGGACTGACCTAGGGTGAATTTTAAATAGGGATAATTTTTAATGATTTTTAATAAGAGACACAGCTACAAATATTTGGTTTTAATTGGCTTTTATTGGGGAAATGTGCTATGTTGTTTTAATATGCTGTGAGCCGCCCTGAGTCCCGTGGGGAGAAGGGCGGCATATAAGTCTTAAATAAATAAATAAAGCAGATTTTTTCCACCAAATTTCTGAATGAGCCTGAAAAAAGATGTGGCTGTTTTAACAAATAGCAGAGTGGTGTTGTGTGTATGTGTTCTAAAATGTTTCTTCCAAATCATTTTCAAAGTATTTATTTCCCAGGCATATGTTGAGACTCATAAATGAGACCATTTCTGACTGCCTAAAACTTAAGAGAAATCCACAAAGCTCAAATGGAGAACTATGGAATGCCCTTCTTTGGAGATGGTCCTAACTTTTTACTCCTTTCACATTTAGGAAAGGCATCAAGACCATCTTCAGCCAAGTCTTTTGAGGGTAGACCATAGATTTTGTTTTCCTTTTACTCTGAGCTACCTTGACTGCTCAGTAGTTAAAAACATATTTGGAATAGTCAGTACTATTTCAATTCTACCCGAATTAAAGGAGTAGAGGGTCATAAAAAGGGAATCAGTACAATATATATCCTAAGATAAGAATCCTCTCAAGCTGATTTTTAAAAACCTGATAAGGAGTCCTTTGTCTTGACAACAGATTAACTAAACATACTTGGATGATCTTTCTCAACTTCATAATCTAATAACCCAGGAAAAACCATGATGCAAACTTGCCTTTCCCAACCCTTTATTAATCTTCCCTTTTCCCATCTTGAGTGCTGGATTCCTGACTTCTTTAGTCAGAAATCAAAAATAGTATCTTAACAGGATTTTTTATGCAAACTTAGCTTTAACACAATGATTAAAATCTATCTTATGTGAAAGGAACAAGAAAAGAGCACAACAGACTAATGACTTATTTCCAAATTCATAAATCAAGTTCCATTAAGGACAATGAGAAAGCTCATAAAGAATACCAATTATTTTGGATATTAATCTATCCTAGTAACTGCAATATATCTCCTAACAGTGAATTATATACAGTATTAAACTATTTAATCTTTGCTGCTTAAGTTTTGTTAGTTTAGGTCTAGATCTGACTTTTCCAGAACAAACGTTTCAAGAATTGCTTTTTGGGGAATCATCTATATCTATAGTTTATTTCTAATTCATGTTCGTCTTAAAATTCCTTTAACTCTTTTGCATATTTTTGGTCACTCTGTTGTCACTGGCTGACTGCAGTTCAATTTTTCTCATTACTGAATTTTCACTATTCCCAATTCACTAGTGAAGTGAATTATTTATCTTTTGCCAGGCAAAAATTGGCCTTTTTGTTTTATTTATTATTTCCTAGAGAGAAAACTAAAGCAACACGTAAGATTGAGATTTCTTATATACCTTTCTTTATATTTGGAGAAGAAAATCAGTAAAACATGTTGCATTGTCATTTTAAATAAATTTATCCTTCTAGTTACTTCATTGGTTCTTTGGAATTTGGATTATGGGCAGACTAAAGAAGGAAAGTGCAAAAGTTGGCTTGAAACTCAACATTAAGAAAACCAAGATCATGGCATCCGGCCCTCTCAATTCTTGGCAAATAGATGGGAAAGAAATGGAGGTAGTGACAGATTTTATCTTCCTGGGCTCCAAGATCACCACAGATGGGGACTGTAGCCAAGAAATTAAAAGACGCTTGCTCCTGGGGAGGAAAGCTATGGCAAATTTAGACAGCATACTAAAAAGCAGAGACATCACCCTGCCAACAAAAGTACATATAGTCAAGGCCACGGTTTTCCCAGTTGCAATGTATGGCTGTGAAAGTTGGACCATAAGAAAGGCTGAGCGCCAAAGAATTGAGGCCTTTGAACTATGGTGCTGGAGAAGACTCCTGCGAGTCCCCTGGACTGCAAGGTGATCAAACCGGTCAGTCCTAGAAGAGATCAATCCTGACTGCTCTTTAGAAGGCCAGATCCTGAAGTTGAAACTCAAGTCCAGGAAGGACTCACTGGAGAAGAGCCTAATGCTGGGAAAGATTGAGGGCAATAGAAGAAGGGGATGACAGAGAATGAAGCAGTAGGCATGAGCTTAAATGGACTCCAGAAGATGGTAGAGGACAGGAAGGCCTGGAGGAACGTTGTCCATGGGGTCGTGATGGGTCGGACACGACTTCGCAACCAACAACAACAACAAAAACAATGTTTTGATCAATTTGGAACTATATGTGTCCCTGTGGGTTTTGTCAGTTATGTTTCTAAAAAAAATATTTGATTCTGCATAAAAGCTCTGTAACACAGTTATCCATGCCATACATCTTTTATGTTTCTTGCCAGAAATCCATTGATTGCATCTTCAATATATGCTTTCTCTACAGACAGAAAATGTTTTAAAACTATGATTATGTTAGGTAGAATGAGACAAAAATAAGTATCCCTTTGTGATATCAAGAGGCCAGGGAAAGTTTTTGAGTCAAAAATATTGAAGGTTTGTTATTATCAATTATCCCAACTTGAAGCAGAATTGAGTATCTCTAACTCTTACATTACCAAAACAAGTTAAAGAGAATAAAGAAATAATATTGGTTTACATAATTATATTTTTGCAGGTTAGAGAACTACAGACCCGATTACAGAGTGTTCAGGCAACAGGCCCATCAAGTCCAGGTCGCCTCACTTCTGCAAACCGTCCCATTAATCCTAGCACTGGAGAACTGAGCACCAGTAGCAGTAGTAATGACATTCCCATTGCTAAGGTGAGTCCTAGGATATTACTACTTACGTTTGCTGCTCTGTGGTGCTACTATTCTACAATGATCCTGAACCAACAGGAGAGATATTTTTCTAAGAAATGTCAGCCTTGTTTGGTCATAACACACATTCTGGTTTATATATGCATTTTAAGATTGAGTTTCTGAACATAGTACCCGAGTGAAATGAGTAGAATCTTAGAAGAGATTGTAAAGGTATGTAACAGTTTTGTGGACCCCATAAAAACTCATTGATTTTTTTAATACAGTTCAAAAGTACTTATTCAATAAACATGTTGTCTGAGTTTATCATTCACTAATACAAATTGAATTCCTAATCCTTATTCTTTTCTCCAGCCATTGATAAAATAAGTCCCAAATTTGAAAATATTCTGTTTCTTCTTTTTCTTTCAACCTCAGAGTAAGTCTGTCCATTTCCGCACAATTTAGTATTTTTTAAATTATTTCTTCCTCTGGTGGTATTTCTTCATTTTTCCAATATTGTGCGAATATGATTCTTGCCACTGTTATCACATGTAAAATCAAGTATATACTTTGTTTGTCAAGCTTTTCTGCCATTATACCTACTAAGAAAAGTTCAGATTTTAAAAGTTCAGGTTTTAATTATATTTTAATTAGACTATATTTAAATATTTCCTTTTAATTAATTTTAATTCTGTAACTGTCATTTGTGTATTTTTAATCGATTGTCAGCCGCCCTGAGTCCGCAAGGAGAAGGGCGGGATATAAATTTAATAATAATAATAATAATTTAAAATCTACATGTTTTCCCAACATCTTTTCTAGCCAAGTATGTATTTTTGTCCAATATCTCTTTGCTTTAACACGATGTCCATCATACCTAGTAATAGGTACCTGACTTGTGATTACATTTCCAACATCTATCTGACATATTTTTAAACATTTTTGCTAGTCTTACTAGTGTCAAGTGCCATCTGTAAAACATTTTATATAAGTTTTCTTTGTAAGAGGTTGACATTGTCAATTTATAATTTCTTTCCCACAAGTTTTGCCATTTCTCTTAGTCTATATTGTATCCAAAATTCTTTGCCCATGTTATCATTGTTTCTTTTACTTGTTCATTTTCCATTTTCAAATTCAATAAAAAGTTATACATTTTCTTAATTAGTTTCTCATCAGAGGTTAATAATATCTGATCAAACAAGGTCTGTTCTTTATAAAATCCGTACAATTTAACATCTTTATCATATCTCACTTGTATTTGTAAATATGCCCATCATGATAGATCAATACCCTGATTTTCCATCTCTTGTTTAGATTTTAAATTCCCTTCAGAGTTTAGAATATCTTTATATATCCATATTTTCTCAAGACTGACTAAATTTGGATATACAAATACTTCCATTGTTGAAAGCCATCCTGGAATTTTCAAGTATATTTTACATTTTTTCCCCATATTAGTAATAATGCATTTCTAATATAGTGGTTTTGAAAATGTTTATGAATTTTATTTTTCCAATACCATAGGAAGGCATGCCAACTGAGTTGTAGGTCATGTCCCTCCAAATACGACAACCTTTTATTTCTAAGGGTTATACCCCATTCTTTTACCCATGTTAGTACTGATGCTTGATAATATAAAACCCATTCTGGCAAGCCAAAACCTCATTTTCCTTAGCTTCTTGTAACATTTTCAATTTAATACTAGCTTTCTTTCCTTGCCAAATAAATTTTAAAATTAGAGAATTTAAGTCCTCAAAGAATTTTTTCTCCAGTTTTATAGGTGTTGTTTGAAATAAAAAATAATATTTTGGGTAATATATTCATTTTCACCGTAGCAATTCTTCCTAAGATTAACAGTTGCAAGTTTTTCTAAGTCCACAGGGAAGAGAAATAAGAAACAATCTCACCTGGATCTCAGCACGTTATTGACAATCAGCTGTTTGGCGGTATGCCGTGGCATGCTGCAGTTCTTTGCTCTTTTCCCGGTTATCTATGACTTGTAAATGCACAGGCAGCCTTTCTTCCGTCCGCTTGAAGAGGTTCCTCAGTTCGTTTGGGCCGACCGCTGTCAGCTCCAAGCTTCCAAGGCTTCCCTTCCTCTTCGTTGCCTCTCCAGGGCAACTTTCCGACCCCTTGGGGTCTCCAGAGTGAAATCGGGCTAGGAAACCAGAGCCCCGATTTCTTTCGCCTGTCTCGTCATGACACCAAACCGGAAGTCATTGTTTTGATTGGTTCCCCATCCTATCTTGATTGTTTCTAGATTGCGGAGAGAGTGAAGCTTTCAAAGACGAGGTCAGAATCCTCAGCATCTGATCGTCCTGTCCTGGGATCAGAAATCAGCAGCATAGGAGTAAGTATAATATTTGCACAAAATGCATACTTAGCTACTTTAGTTGACAGTCATGATCAAGATTGTTTGAAGTCACAGAAATAAAAGTAGTTCTCATCTTAAGCTAAGTTAGTTCCCTTGGGCTTTATTTTTTTTAATTTAAGTATTCATGTTTTGGGTATTTCTCCTCCAACGAATGAAAGCAAAATTTCTTTTTCTTCTTCAAGATAAAGATAGCCATTCTATGAATGTGTATAAAATGTACACAATCATGCATTTGGATTCTGCAGTAAACATCTACAGTCAGGGCTGCATTTCCTGCAGCTGTTTTTAGAGAGGGCAAGCATTCTAATGGAGCAGCTTTAAAATACATACTCAGGGACGAACTA